GGGGTGCTCGTGTCCATCATCTTTAGGGGTTTTTTGGTTGTTTTCAGTGATTTATCATTTTATTATTTGTAAATTGATAGGTAGAACCTGATTGCCATTTATTGATAATATTACTTATTGCTTTATGTTTTCTTTACCCCTTTTTCTCTTGTCTCTATGGATTATTTTTAAAAATAGTTTCCGACGCGTTTCAATGCAACGTTTATAATTTGCCATCATTCCACTGAGGATTCTTTTTTTTCTTTTAGAATTTTTTTAATGGAATGCTGGTAGTGAAAAGTATGAATCATATATTTTGTACCTTTTGGATGTCAAGAACATTCTACCTGTATCTTTTTGCACCTGGAAGAAATGGCTGCTTTTAAACACAAGGGCTATCCCGACAAATGCTGTTGTGGGGAAATCGAAGGTAAAGTTTTTGCACCTTGTTCAGTTTCTGTAAAAAACAAGGAGAGTTTTCTCTATAACCAAACAAATATACACACCAATGAAACCAAACTTCGCCTACAGGTAGGGCAATGTCCTCTCTTACTATAGGTCGAGATTTCTGGAAACTCTCGAAATGTTTGTGAGCCCACTTGTCCTTAAAAGGGACCAAATGCCTCAGTGTGGGCAGGTCTGAATCTTCAATGAAGGGACTTTCAGGTCATCTAGGTTCAATGAAAGTACCAACGGTCAATGCACTGACACCGTCTGCCCTGATTACCGATTTTCTCCTCTAATTTTGGAATTTTGAAGTAACGAAGAACTTCCTGTTGAGCCCCCAAAACATGCTGAAGCAAGTGGATGTTTTACTTTCTACTGCCTATCATCATCAGTATTAGATACTGGATAGAAAGCATATATGTCAATGTGTCGATCGTTGGATAGAAACATATATATGTCAGTACGTCAATCACACAAATAAAAACAAATGCAGTTTTAATGGACTTTTATTTTTATCTGATTCAAATATAAGTGAGGAATTCTGTCTGGAAGTTTATGCTGTTTGTTTCACTCGTGCCACTCTGATGTCACTTATCTTTCCATGACAAAGACAATCTTTATTCTTCTCGCAGGGAAAAATTTGTCTTGGTCGTTAACAATGGCAGTAGATGTTACAAAGCTCTCTCTCTCTCTCTCTCTCTCTCTCTCTCTCTCTCTCTCTCTCTCTCTCTCTCTCTCTCTCTCTCTCTCTCCATCCCTCCCTCCCTCTCTCCTTCTCTCTCTCTCTCTCTCTCCCTCCCTCTCTCTCTTTCTCTCTCTTTCTCTCTCTCTCACTCTGTTTCTCTTTCTCTAGCTCTCTCTCTCTCTCTCTCTCTCTCTCTCTCTCTCTCTCTCTCTCTCTCTCTCTCTCTCTCTCTCTCTCTCTCTTCCCCCCCCCCCCCTCTCTCTTTTTCTGTTTCATTTGTAGCACTGTGTGTTCAGTAACCTCACTGTGTAGGTTGTTGGCGAGTGCTCTGGTGTGGTTTGCTTCTTCTGTCCTATCAAGCATCTATCATCCTTATCTCCCCTTCTTCTTTTTATGTTTGTTACTCTCTTGTAACACCTCTATTCTTCTGGCGCTCATATGACCTTATGCAGTTGCAAATGCTGTAAAACCTGTACTAAAACTAACAAACCTCACTGTGGTTGGTTTCCTCCACTTCACAGAACTGGTCAAAGAACAACAAACTTCTGGAGTACGAAAAAGCGCTGGGCAGATCTCCCCCCGTGGCTGGTCATACCGCGACCGCCGACCCTTCTAGCCTGAGGGCTCCAGGAGAATACAGCGTGATCGACACCCCGGGAACTCTGGGCCTCATCCCCCCAAACACTTCCGACAAAATCCTCATGGGTTTATCTTCTCACAACGGGGAGCTTTGCATCTCAAAAGACGGCTACTCCAAGTCTACGCAGACGTACGAGACAGCGTTTGTTCCGTGCGAGTCGTGCGACGTGGTGCAGAAACGGATGAGGGAGTCGGGCGACGTGGTCATCAAAGTGTGTAGCGACCAGGGACTGCCGTGCTCGTTGAAAAAGTTCAAAGGGAAAGTGCGGCACGTCGAGCTTCTGCCATACGGCGACGTGTGTCACTGGATGGTGGAACAGAACAAGGACGTGGCACGCATCGGCAAACAGATCGAAATTCTTCAAGAGACCATCAACCCCCTCAAGACGGACTTGAAAGGCTGCGAGAAACGCACGCGGGTGGCGGAGGAAAAAGCCCAGAGTTGTGAGAAGACGATGAAGGAAGAGAAGGAGATTCAGTCCGTGCTACGCAGGCAGCTGGAAGTCAGTAAACAACTTTCCTGGAAATTATTTGTGAAGCGTGCAAACAAAATTAGTTACTTCTTGGATTCTAGTCCAATGGAAATCAATAAATCACACTTATAGGTGAAGTTTTTATCATTTTAAAGCATGAAATAATAAAAGGCATGTTATACGTAAAGAATATGGCGTCAATAGAAAATCTACAAATTTGACCCTAGTGTCGATTTTTGGCCAATATCTCCATTTGTGGATTGCGAGAAGTAACTCATTTTTCAGCACGCCCCACTTTTTATTTTTAGGATTATTTTTCTTTTCTTCCTACGCTAAGCATAGTTGCTTAGGTAAATGATTCGGTCATTCAGAGATTGGTGTCAAACAGTCCGGGGAAAGTTCGTGACCTCAGAGCTTTCTTGTCCTATCTCCATTTTTAATAACAGTGAAAACAGTTCATAACAAAGAGTGAGCTTAAGTAAGAGTCACATTTTTACTGTTTAAAAAAAATGGAGATACGACAAGAAAGCTCTTAGATAGCACATGGTAGATTAGATAAATGATTAGGTTATTCAGAGATCGGTGTCAAACAGTCTGTGTTATTCACGCTTTGGGGGGGG